TTTAAGGATCCTTGGTGACACCATGATCTAGGCATTGAGTTGCTAACTAAGAGGTCAGCAGTTCAAACTCACCAGCTGCTCCTTGAGAGAAAGAAGACTGCCTGCTCTCATAAAGTTTACAGTCTCAGAAACCCTATATAGAGTTGCTATGAGTTGGAGCTGACTGGATGGCAGTTGGTTTTATGCTCTATTAATATTGATCACAAAAGTCATAGAGATGGACTTGGAGCTCTAACAAAGGACTTCCTACAAATTAAAACAAAAAAACTAGTGTACTATTTATATTAATGTTCTCCCAAAAACCCAAACCAACTGCCATCTAACTGATTCTGACTCATACCCATTTCAATTGAGTCTACTCCAACTGTAGCTACCCTGTCTATACATGGATTCCAAGACTGTAAATCTTTACATAAGCACACAGCCTCATCTTTTCCTTACTGAGCAGCTGTTGGATTTGAACCACCAACTATGCCACTTCATACTTAAAATTTCAAAGTCTAACCCGCAGCATCACTAGAGCGTCTTAATTTTTTAAAATAATCTTAGCATTTATATGAAAGGAGCTCTGGTAGCATAGATGAATCGGGCTGCAAACCTCAAGGTCAGCTGTTGGAAACTACCATCTGTTCCATGGGAGAAAGATGAGGCTTTCTGCTCCCATAAAGATTTACAACCTCAGAAACCCTGTACAGGGTTGCTATGAGTTGGGACCGACTCTACGGCACATAACCAACCAACCAGTGGTTCTGTATCATATTATCTGCAGTCCTCGTGTGGCACTGTGGGTTAATGCACTGGACTGCAAAGTCATTTGAACTGCAACATTGGCAGTGCAAGTTCTCCATGTGCTTCTCAGAAACCCTATATACAGGGTCGCTGTGGGTCGGAACCGATCAATGGCACTTAACAACAACATCATATTAACTACTGCGTTTGGGAATAAATTTTTTAAATGCATTTAGGATTATTTGGGAATTTGGTTAACTCTAAGATTACTGCTAAGGTTTACTAAACTTGCTTATTTTATGTAACTGAGCTATCAATTTTTATTCCAGCTCTGAGAAGCTACTAATAGCCACTCATTGTAGCTAGTTTTAATTGAAAATGGGATGAAAGAAAAAAGATTTCCTATTTAACCAGCATTTGTTCTCAGAGAGTTGAATAAGAAATGAGATAATTTGAAGCAAATGTTTAAAAACAAAACAAAACAAAAAAAAACCCTTACACCTAATTGTTGTTTAGTGTTGTTGAATCGGCTCAATCCATAGCAACCCTGTATAGGGTTTCTGAGGAACGGTTGGTGAGCTTGAACCGGCAATCTTGCCTAATTAACTGCCAATTATAATGCTACTTTTCTAGCTTTTTTAGAACTTACTTTAAAGCTTGCTTTGTCTCAGGAATCAAAACAGGCATATAAACTATTGCTGCTCCTTTTTAACCCATACAATTACTCAGTCAACAAGCATCAAGTGAAATTTACAAATGCAGATAAAGCAAAGTTTTTAACAATCATTTTGTAAACCTCTTGTAAATGCCAGATCCTCTTTTCCAAGCTGAATTCACTTACTCACAGGATTAATTTATTACTTTCTCAATATTTTACAAACTTAAAATATTACAAACTTAAAACATAGCTCAGTTTCTTTGAGTATTTAGACATCATGTGATTCGGGCAATCAACACTTGAAGGCCTCAGTTTCAGGGACCTGAACTGGTTTTTGAGGTTTGGACTACTTCAGCCATGGCAGGACATGATTTATGTGCCATGACAGGAACTGTTCATTTTGAGTCTTTCCTCCTGTGGCAACTACTTAGCCTGGGTTTTGTCCAAGAAATGAAGCATATTTGCAAGCTTATGACCAAAAAACCTTTTTTAAGCCTGAGGGGCCTGTTGATGCTTTATACTTATGGCTGCTACCATTTAAGTTTACGGTGACTTCTTAACACTAGCCTTGAAAAATTCCTGCCTCAATGTGTCTGATCATCTAGAGTTAAATTCATTATAACCTGTCAATCCTCGCCTTCTTCCCTATATAAACTTACATTCCTTTTTTATCATACTAAAATTTCTACCATTCTACCAGTTACTCAGTAACAAAATCTCAAAGATTTACTACCTTTCAGGCCGCAAAGGGTTTTACAAGCATCTACTTATGAGTGTGGTGCTGTGGGTTAATGCGCCAGACTGCAAAGCCGATTGAACTGCAAGGTCAGTGGTTCAAGCTCACCAGCTGCTCCCCGGAAACCCTATATAGGGTCACTATGGGTCGGAACGGACTCGACGGCACTTAACAACAACAACAACTTACGAATCGGGCTGCTAATCACAAGGTCAGCAGTTCGAAACTACCAGTGGTACCACGGGAGAAAGATGAGGCTTTCTGCTCCCATAAAGATTTATAGCCTCGGAAACCCTATGCAGGGTCATTATGGGTTGGAATCGACTCTTAACAGCAACAAGTTCTGGTAGAAATCCTAGTGTGGCAGTGTAGTTTAAGTACTGGACTACTGACCGCAAGATCAGCGGTTCAAACCCACTGGTCACTCCTTGGAAAACCTATATAGACTCACTAGGATTCCGAACCTACTCGTCAGCACGACGGCACTTAACAACAACCAGTTACCCATAGACAAGTTTTCTTTCAGTCTAGATGTTACTTGTTCTCTGTAATATTTTAGGATGATGACTATTTTTTTGTGTGTGTGTGTTTTTTTTTGTTTTTTTTTTTAACTTTCTAGGCTTCTTTTCTTACTTTGAAAACTGTAAGGAAAGTGTTTCTTGCAGGGCAGAAAGAGGAATTAAAAGAAAATCAAAATAGGCTGCTGAATGTTTAAGATGAGGGTTATTATTAAAGGTCCTGAAGAACCTTCATACTTAAAACTTCAAAGTCATCTTTTCATCATTGTTCTTCTCTTTCATCTTAACTAATCAATTGTTCAGTAAGATTAAGTCTACCTATGCAATGTCCTCAGATTATTCAGTTCCAGCTTTTCCATTTTCGCTGCCACACTCACTTTCCTCACATAGATTACTCTATTAGCCTATCCTTTAACAGTCTGATCCATTCTTCATATTATTCCTGGACTACTTTTCCCTCATCTTAGATATAAATATGTCATATTCTGATTCAAAACCTTCATTGACATTCTGTGTTCTAGTACAAGGTTTCCACAAGTATATTCTATGGAACACCAGTTTTTAAATGATGTTGTTGTTTTTAAGTGTAATTGGTTTTCTTCAGACTCATAGCAACCCTGTGTACGGTTTCCAAGGAGCAGCTGATGAGTTTGAACCAAAGACCTTATGATTCAAACTGACCATATGGTCGAGTGCTTATCCTACACATTACCAATGATGGTTGTGGTGGTTATGTGCCGTGGAGTCGGTTCCGACCCATAGCAACTTTGTACAGGGTTTCCGAGGCTATAAATCTTTACAGGGGCAGAAAGCCTCATCTTTCTCCCGTGGAGCAGCTGGTAGTTTTGAACTGCTGACCTTGAGATTCGCAGCCCGTGTTACTATGCTACCAGAGCTCCTTAAATGCCCAAGACCCATCAGTTATTCTTATCTTTCTCCCAAACCTCATATCAGAATACTCCAAATTTATCTTTGTGCTCTTCACCACTTTTACCCTATCCAAACCACTGAATTCTAATCCAAATTATTTTTCCCAACTGGTCTTGATTCTACCTGTGCATTACTCACCATTTGGCACAGAAACTAGTGTTCTTTTAAAATGTACATCTGACCAAATAATTTTCTTACTCATGACCTCCCATCCTCTCACTTAACCTCTAGGTGGCTTCACACCACCTAAAATAAACTCTGAAATTTTTATGACCCTGCAATGCCGTACAAAATCTGACCCCTGAGTACACCCTATATAAAATGCTGCTGTTGCTATTAAATGCCATTGAGTCCATTCTAACTCATAGTGACCCTATATAGGGTTTCTGAGGAGCTGCTGGTGGGTTTGAACTACCAACCTTGTGGTTCGCAGTCCAGTGCTGATCCTACAGTGCATTGCCAAGAAAACAGGATGGCACCAACCATCCCTCCCAATGCACTCTCTACTTCTCTGCTCAGCTCAATAATTCATTGCAATGACCATGCAGAACTTAACATACTCATAGGTAAGGGGTTTATTAGGAAAATTAGCAGGTTACAATGCAGAATCCAAAAATGCTCAGGGCATAAGATCTTTCAGTCAGGATAGCCTCTCTTCAGCTGTGCCTGCAGGCAGGCCTCTCTGACCCTTGACCTAGCCTCTGCCTAATGTTACAAAGCTCTTTTGGGGATGCTAAAGAGTCCTGCTGTGGCACTGTGAATTAATGCACTGGACTGCACAATTGGTTTGAACCACAAGTTGATGGTTCAAGCTCACGAGTCTTGAAACCCTATACAGGGTTGGTATAGGTTAGAACCAACTCAACAGCACTTAAAAATAACAACAAATGCCCAAAGAACACTCCACTCCTTACCCCAAAAGCACTGAGCTTTAATTCTCTGTTGGGCTGCTAACCACAGGTCAGCAGTTCAAACCCATCTGCTGTTCCTTGGGAGAAAGATGAGGCTGTCTATTCTCTTAAAGATTTGTAGTCTCAGAAACTCAAAGTGGCAGCTCCACTCTGTTACTCTGTCCTATAGGACTTCACTATGAGTCAGAATCAACTCAATGGCAGTGGGTTTTTCTGTGCCACATTACAAGGTGAACAAATACCTGAATAACAATTTTTTTCAGCCACCTCCACAACTAAATTATCTCAGTTTTTGTGGTCATCTGATTTGCTCTTTAACATTAAATCTTGAAAACACTGGTTTGATTCTCTCATGCAAATACGTTCAGCCATATATTCAAGTGTAATCTTTTCTGTGGTCAGAGCAAGAAACAAGCAGAAGGAATTTGTCAAGCAAAGAAGGGCACCATGTCTTCACTTGTCAGGATACATAACAGTACAAAGAACATTTTGAATTAAGATATTTTTACATCCTCTAGGGACCAAGAGGACCAGATGGTCTCTCAGGAGAACAAGGGATGCAAGGTGCCAAGGTAATCATTGGTTTTGTCATTTCATATGCAATTAATTTTCATTGAGTCTATATGTGCTACCTGGTTAAAAAAAAAATGTGTTTCTTTACAAAAGTTTGATTCTAAATTTTCTTAGTCTAGGTATGAAACCTATGAAATTTTTTGTATTACACATACAAAAAAGTTTTTCTTTTCCATGTCGAACCATATGCTGGATGCCTTGTTGTTTCATACGCGAGTGTATGTTATCATGTGAAAGACCCTAATTCACATTTTTGCTTACTCTCCTGATATTGATACTCTAATAGGGTGAAAAAGGAGATCAAGGAAAAAGAGGGCCACATGGTCTTATTGTAAGTAATAAACCATTTTACATTAAGTATGGGCATTTAAAAGCTGCCCTATTTATCTTGTATGCTTCATATTTTAGGAGAGGGCTACTTGACTTAAATATTTTCTTTTTGTATAGGGTAAAACTGGAACTCCTGGAGACAGAGGAGCTCACGGGAAACCAGTAAGTAATGAAAAATAATCAAGTTGAACAATTTTTCCTTCTTTTATCCTTTGATACAACTATCATTTGGCATTCAATATGTTAGACTAAGAGAGCACAAGAGCTTTTCCTCCTTCAATCATCTTATCAATGTTTCATTTGGAAAATTGCTTACCTATTCTGGGCCATGGTTATATCTCCATACATGGAGAGGGTAATTGCTATTATTATTTCTCCCTGGTTAGAATAACTTAGTTTTTCTGTAAAACCCATTCAAAATAAAATGATGTGATATCATATAAATGTTAAATGTTGTTGCTGTTAAGTGCCGTCGAGTCGATTCTGACTCATAGCGACCCTGTATAGGGTTTCCACGGAGCAACTAGTGGGCTTAAACTGCCACCCTTGTGGTTCATAGTCCAGTGTTAATCCTATAGTGTCATACCAAGAGTCCATAAATATAAAATAATGGTACATTAATAAAACAAACACAACAAGAAACATCTTTGAGGCTTTTCCTAGTTTCTTTTTAACTTGAATTTTTTTTTTCTTTTTGGTCTTTGGAATGTGGAGCTACATGTGCCACTTGCTTTCCCATGGCGCTGCCTGCTCTGATGTTAGAATTGTTGTTGTTGATAAGTGCCGTCGAGTTGATTCTGACCCATAGTGACCCTGTATAGGGTTTCCAAGGAGCAGCTGGTGAGCTTGAACAACTAACCTTGCAGTTCAAATGACTTTGCAGTCTGACG